TTGATATGATCTACCCATAATCTACAAGCTCGGAAATCAACTTGTTATTTCTTATCTTATTATTTCCTTATCAACGATTCAAGCGATTTATTTATGTGGTTGAGGAGAACTCAAAAGAATATAGGGCAGCATTATTCCACGATAGATTTTACAGTGTGAGAAGTCGCCCTTCTTTGGAATCCTTATAAGTACTCCTTGTAACCAATCATCGAGTAATTTTTCCTCGTTCCATATAGCCTTAAATACCGAATATAAAAGCTTAGCCATAATTCTTGTGCATGCTTTGAGTATCTCAGTAGGGATTTTACCATGATCCGATATTTTTCCGTTTTTCAGTTCAGTGTTTCATGCAATGTTCAAGGATTTATTTTTATTCTTGCCTGTGTTGGGGTCTGCGCTAATTTTGCATATGATAATAAATCAACATTGACCTATATAACATATAAAAATGATGTTTTGATTGACAAAAAAGTCAGTTGTTTGAACCGATATGTTTGAGCTCACATTGAAATGGTGGACCATAGCTATGTTCAATGGTTGGGTTTTTTAATTTCTCAGAACACTTTTAGCGAGTGTTGGTGCACACCGTTCAGAACTAACAAATTTACATTATAGTTATAGTATATTTGTTACATGATGAAGTTTTTCTAAAACATTGGCCAGAATTTTGTTTGAAAGTGTTTAAATCGCGAACTAGATTTGTTGGATTTAGTTGGAATTCGTTGGATTTTTGATACACCCATGCTGTCAACTGCTATTTAGTTTTTGGTTCACATTCAATCATCCTCAATATATATATGAATGTATCTCCAATCTTATACATATCCTTCATAGCACCTCTATGGTATTTCTTAAAGAGTACTTTGAACCAATCGAAACGATCTTTTTGATCTTTTGTCATATTAAGTAGAATCCAACGTATATACAAATTGTTGAATCCCAAATGATCATATAAAATTTTATATATACTAGTGGAACTAATGCACAAGACTGTCTTATTCTCACAGTATGCCACCTTGCCTTATCAGTTTTTGAATAGCAATATTGTTTGACAACTGATTTTAGAGTGTTTCATAATTGTAAAAAATGATGCTAAATTGTCTAAAGTGGGGGCCAATCTTCGTTTTACTTTTGTGTTTAAAACCCATATCGAAACTATAATTAATCATGAGAATTGAGCATGAGAATTGAGAGCATTGAGAATTTACAAGTTATTTCTAATTTTTCTTTTTTTAAAAAACAACTATAATTAAGTTGTTTCTTTCAAGTCACCATAAATAAAAAATTTTGAATAAGTTACAGATCAAATATATCAAACATTAGTAGGTGATATCTAACAATACTTAAAATTATCTGAGCTAAATAGTGGCCAAAATAGACCTTTTTCAAAAGGCATATTCTACTAATAAAAGTATTTTTGAATAATAGTAAATTACAACAAAATTTTATTTGTGAATTAATTGAACTTTTGAAGAGCTTTACCAAATAATCTTGAAAATATTAGTTTCTTTATTAAACCGTATATAATTGAATCTCTAAAATTAGAAGCAATAACTTCGCATATTTTATCCGAACGAGTCAAAACGAGTTATAACATACAATACCTTATGTCTTTTTATTTAAGTGTTTGCCTAACTTGAAACATTGAACCAGAATTGAATTCATTTAACCATTTTATTATTTGCCAAATAAGGTATAAAAATCTCCATAAAACCTAGTAAATAAAGAAGAAGAAGTTAAGACTTTTTCTTTCTTCACAAACTCGTAGTTATGCGAATTGGCTTGACTGCCATTTTGATATGTAATCTGTCAGGTAACCTAAGAAAATAGCAAATACGAAATATGTGACGAAGATTCTGAAACCTTCCTTCAATATTTGTTTACTTTACTACTGTACATATTTATGTATCTAGATACATGAAAGTAACGAGCAAATATAATAAAATGTCGATAACTGTTGCATTGTTTACAATAACAACAACAATAAGAAACTTTAGTGATAAGCAAAAACTTACAATGGCGAATTATTCGACAAATGACAAGAAACAAAATATTCAATTACATAAAGTAAATACATATAAACATAGAAATAAAGAAGTTATGTAAATATTTATTTAATTTTTTTTATTTAATATACTTAATATAAACGAATATACATACGAAAACTCAAATACGCAATTTTACTTCAGTTAAAGTTCTAGTAATGACTTAATTTTTTTGTTTTATAAATATAAAGTAACAGTTTCATATTTTATAAGACATTTAATATATTGTTGCGTTAGTTCCACCCTATTTACGTAGTCTTCAACTTCTGTGTTCATACCGCTCGCCTCCGTAGCCTCACGCAGCCTTACATGCAACTCCGTTCTAGCACCACCTGTCCTAGCTTCTCAAACTGCCGCTTTAATTGCACCACGGTTAACTGTTGCGTTAGTTCCACCCTATTTACAATTCTGACAAGTAATATAAATAATTAACATAAGTTTAATGTAACCGTACTTATTTTTCTGTATTTTATCAAACACCAATATAATTATTTTCAATAACACCATTTATATCAAAAACTTATTTTCCAATTAAACTGACATTCCTCGAAATTATTTTTCAAGATTACTTAAATTGTTAATTCACAACAATATCCTGAGAATATTTTTCAAGATTGACTCAGTGAAAAAATATATCAGAGACAGAGCTCTAAAATTATTCACTAAAGTTGATACGCTACTTAACCCCGCCCTAACAATCCTCAAGTCCACTTCTGGACTCTCAGGAAGATATGCTGATTTAAGGTCCGTTAAGACAAATAAATGATATGATTTCTTAGCCTAGTTAAAACCTAGTGTGGGGTAGAGATAAGCCCCTCAGGCATTATAGAGTAAAAGTGCGTAATAGCACTAACTCAAGATGAAGAATCAAGAATCAAGAATCAAAAGAAAACTTATAACATAGAATCTTTAATTTTAAAACAAAAGTTTAAGTTCTGGACGTGATTTCTTGGTCTGTATTGTGTTTTACATGAAACAAGAATTGAGTTATTATTCGATATATCGAGTCTATAAAACGAAAAAAAAGTCCATCAAAGTTTCAGAGAGTTAAGAATGTCATAAATGCTGGAAAAATTTTGAGTCAAAAAATCAGTCTGACATCTCGAAAATTGTTCATACATTTAGGGCCTAAGAGTATTTATATCAGTAAGAAAATTTTACTTGTTTTTCTCGAAAGAGCTGTAGAAAGCTCGCTTTAGAGAGCAACTTTAGAAAAACTTTACATTTGAAAATCACATTTCAGGCATTAAACTGAAAATATATACTAGAGTTATAAATAGTTTACAATTTGGACTGAATAAATTTCTTTTAAAGTTTTGCGACTGAATATTTATTCTTCTAGTATGCGACTATTTGACACCTTATATATCAGTAAATATTCAACATGGACCCACATTACAAGTTTTTTCATTTTTCGAGTAAAGAAATTACCCCCCGAAGGTAAACACATTAAATTGAATATTTGAATATATATAGTTAACTTATTATATGTATTAATAATCACTAACTCATATTCTTCACACAGATAGTTATGTTATTTACTAAATATTCTCTTAACAAAATAATCGAGTAATTAAATCAAGCAATAAAAATACTCAAAAATAATTTCATAATACATAGTATCTCATTAAATAAGTTCTAATGTAGTCTAACAAAAATAAAATTACGAAAAGTAGCTAAAAATCTAAAGCGTCCTCTTAATCCCATATCACTTAATAACGCAAACACAAAAGCGTTCTAAATCCACTAATACACCTTAAGATATTTTTTTAATTATGCATTATAAGCAAATAGTTTATTTCTCCTACCATAAATTGTAGAATAGTAACGATTAAAGTAATTTGTAATCCATTTCCAGACACTACGTCAGCATAATATCATATTTCCTTTTTGAACGAGGGCTGCTATATATATAATATTTCTAGCCTAATAATGAAAATGCGAATATGTGTCATCAAAAATTTTTTTATTGTTTTTCAAAGTATTATCCAGTCTTCATAGAAGACAGGGAACTCATTATTAACAATTATACGCCGGTCAATTGTTAACTTATATAAAAGTACATACATTACTCTACGAGAGGTTATGATCTCTAAATCGTTATAAAATATTTAAAATAAAAGATAACAACTGGGCTTAACCTTGTTAGAGAAGAAGTCCAAAGGCAACAAGATTAGATCAACTTGTAGTGACTAACACACCTTATCAACAATTGTTTCAAATACAATTTCCGACTTGTCAAAAGGTAGTAATCATGGTTCAGAAACAAAGATTCAGAAAAGCCTGACCGGACAACGTACTTGAGAAACTATATTTTAATAACTATACTTGATAAACTAGTTTTTTAAGTTTATCGAGGTTTTACTTAGGTTTTATCAAGGTTTTATCGAGGCGTCTGAAGCAACCATTCGAAAGTTGAAGAAGTCTATAAGATAGCTAAAGTAATAGAAAAATTCTTTAAAAAAGTTGTTATTTTGTGTTTTTAGATGTTTTACAAGTTTTTGATAAGGTTTAGCTTTAGAGACTACAACCTGAACTGTGGTGTTCTACTACACCCAAAACAATACAGCAATCAACAACGATCCTATATATCTAATATGTACTTTCACATAACTCAATGATATTTAAAGAAGATAGAAAGCAGAACTGAGATAAAGCATCGTCCCAGGTCCACTATTGTTATTACTATGTAAAATAATACCACAATAAAAGCAGATAAATTGGCTAGGGCTCTACATACTATCGTTTCTAAAATTTTCTCCCCTAAGTTACAAACAAGTTGATAAACTTAAATATGATTTCTTTACAGAATTTTGAAGAGTGAAACAAACCATAAAAAAATTTAAACTATTTGCTTTTTATTTCATATGTTTTTATATATTTTAATTACAAAAATATTATTTTTTTTAATTTTTTAATTTTTTAATTTTTTATTTTTTATGTAGATATTTTTTTTTTATCATTTACGCGAATATTTTATAAGTTTTTATGTTTTATAATTTTTTTAAAACAAAGTGGAAGGATGACAATTGCATTTTCGCAAAAACGCGGTTCTGGTTTTATGTATGGCGTATCCGACGAAAAATATATACCTGTAAAATATATAAAAAAGCATGCCATTCATTCGTTGGTACCAACATGTGTGATACCGGATTGTTTAAGAGGACAGGTAAAAGTTGATTTAAATGCGATCAGTATTGTATTCCATAGTACGCCTGAGAAACTGGTTGTATTGGCTGCTTTAGCTGTGGATAAACTTCCCTTGCCCGACGTTTACTCATGGTCTTCGTTAGACGTTGCTAGATGGATAAAGAGACTAGGATTTCCAGAATACCGTGTAAGTTGATTTGAAATCATTTTTTTTTATTTTTTTTTTTGAAAAGATATATTAATCAAATGAACAATTATTGGAATTATATTATATCATAGAAAATTTTTTTAAATCAGATACTACCTGTTATTGATATCCAAAATCATATATTTCGTAATTCCAATATATATTTCTATGTCATCTATTATTTCGAAATAAATAACCAATGAACAAAAACGTTCAAAATACAAAACAATCGATTTGCAGTAAATAGAGATTATTACAATATCATATATTCAAGTACTCGGTGAAAAATTTGATAATGTTAGAGTTCACGCATTAGAGATATTTAATAAACTTTGAAGGCATAAATTTTTATTGGAGTTTTATTGGAGTTTTTTATTGGAGTAAATTTTTATTGGAGTATTACCTTATTTTTGACATGTAACGATATAAAAATCATGTTTTGTATGTATATTACGATTATTTGATAGAACTATAATACTTGTGCCAAAACATAATATAGATCCAGTAGAGCAGATACAGCAAAAATAAAAAAAAACTATTTCATTCTTTTTCCTCACTACACCACAGTTGTTATCTGCTGAATAAAGTTATTGTCTTATTAATTAGTTTTCGAATATAGGAATATATTCAAATTATTTTGATATATTTTGTAAAACTCTTAATAATAAGAAATGAACCGACTGAAGCACCGCTGAAAATCACTTGGTCAAGCTTCTCGTCGACAAACTATAGAAGATCTACATCGATGAAATTATGAAAATACTTTAAAAATGAAAGAAAGTCATAAATAATAAAGGCCAATATATTCTTGGTTAAAACAAATTTTCCATAAAGAAAATTGATGTACAAAAATTTACTAAAAAAACAGCAAATACTTTGTAACATATCTTGTGATTAAAAAATAACTTTAATTTTTATCATTTGAATTCCCACGCTTATCCAATCGACAAATTTTTTTATTTTAACGCTGGCAACACTATTATTCTGTCAAAGTTTAACGCATATCGTACGATTAGTTTTTGTTTGACGTCTATACAAAGAAGTCGGAAAATTTACGGCGATTTTTATCATATGGTCTCTATGGTCTCAAAACGCGTTCCTCGCAATGGTAATTGGACTCGAGGGAAGAGGAAAATTTCACACGGGCCATATCTGGAGAGTACGGTGCTTGGTTGATGATATTGGTGGAGTTTTTGGCCAAAAACTGCGTCTTTTTTTTGAATGAAATTCAGCTTTTTTGCCACCAGCCGAGAAGCGACGCATCAGTTAAAATGTGTGCGGCCGATCCATATGAGATGCCCAACAACACTGCAATCTCTCTAATCGGTTCACAATGATTTTCCAACACGATCTGCTTCGCCCATTCAATGTTTTCTTCAGTAACAGAAGTTGTTGGGCGGCCAGGGATCTCATCATGGTCCAAGCTTGTACGACCGTCTTTGAACCTTTTAAACCATGCGTATATACGTGGTTGCGAAACACACAAATCACCAAAGACCTTTTTAACATTTTTTGACAGTTTCGGCACACTTGAATCCATTTGCAACACAAAATTTGATGCACGCACGTTGTTCTAATATTTGATCCATTACAAAAATTGGCACACGAATATTTTTCGACTTCTTTGTATAGACGCCAAACAAAAACTAATCGTACGATATGCGTTAAACTTTGACAGAATGTGTATAATAGTGTTTCCAGCGTGAAAAGAAAAAAAATTACCGATTGGATAAGTGCGGGAATTCAAAAATAGGTCTCTCGTTCTTTTTTGATCAGAAGGTATATCACCTAGTATTATCATATTATTTTATTTTTGCGTGTGTCTATTATATGTATTTAGATTTTCCTGAGCGAGTAGTAGCTGATATCTACATAAAACATGTAGTTCACATGTCTTGATTAGTTAAATATGATTTTTACAGTATTAGACAGAAATTAATGGACAGTTTTTCCATTACTTTCAACATATAAAATTTTTGCACAGAGGTTTTTTTCAGATACCTATAATCCTAATAGAACTTTTATTTCATAATTTCAGCCTTAGTTCATTTTATTTAGATTCGTTCTTTCTCTTTAATATGCACAATGTGTATACAACAAAACATATCTATTAACAACTACACTATAGAAACTTAATTATAAAAAATTAATTAAATTAAAGTAATTAAAGAAATTAATTAATAAAAAATTACATTTTTAAAGGAAACATTTCAAGTAAATTGTGTATGCGGCAGTAATCTTATGTTGGTGAACGCAAAAGCATTAATAGCAATGAATATAAAAAACTTTGATCACATTAAGAAAATAACGGCCGAAATACGTTGTCTCTATCAAATGGAAAAGTTGAAGAATTTTCCCGAAAAGGAAAGAACTTTTACACCTTATGAGCACTTCAAGTTTTATCGTCACAAAACTGGTAATCGATATCAGAATATAAAACCAAGTAAGTTCTTTTGGGATAAGGAATTACTTGATGAGCAACCACGCACCTTGACACATTGGGATAAACTTAATGCTTGGATGAAACGTGAACCACTGGTGAAACAGAAAATAGTCATACCAAATTTACCACGTAGAAATCTATATAAATGTAAAGCTGTTAAAGAAGAAGAGGAAAGAAGTAGAGAGTTTGATTCTTATGATTGTACCTGCTTTCCTCCTTGTCTTTGTAATTGGCAAGAAGAAGAGAAAAAAGTAGCAGACCGATTTACATGCTTGAAAGATGAAGTATTAGTTGAACCTGATGAAACCATTGATACATTATCGTGTCTGCAGCATGTATATCCTGGACGTTATACATTCAGACCTATAAGCTTTGCTGATTCAATAAAAGGTGGTAATAGAATACCAAAAACTTGTCCGTGCAAAACTACTGATAAAATACCATACTATAGTGTAATAAAAGTAGGACTTTTTGGTCAAAAAGTCACTAAAGTTCCATTGCACCCTGATAAGAACAAGCTATATACCCAAGCTATAAAAACTCACGAAGGCCAAAATTATCGAAATGAAAAATTGTATTCTTCCTCTTCTACATTTTAACTTAACAATTCGGAATCAACAAATTTCGACATCTAAATTAAGGAGTAATTTTGTTTATATAATTATTATTTATAAAAATTTACTGTAAAAAATTCTTAAAAACCAAAATGTATTTACCTACAATCATCAGGACATATGATATTTAGCAAACAAAATCAAATTATATATTGTAATTTAAATATCTGAATAAAACTAGTAAATTAAAATTGAAATTTATCTTTAATATATCTAACATTACTTAAAATTGTTTAAAGAAATGAAAAATTCGTATATAAAAAAGTGTTTACTTAAGATATATGCTTAGTCGCCAACAATATTTGCTACAGCAGTTAAGTTAGGCATTGAAAAGAGAACTTCCTCCCTGACATATTTCAATTAGACATAAATAAAGAAAAGACATCGTTATAGTAGTTCTATTTCAAAAACAGGTTTAACAAAGAAAGAGAAGAGAAACAAGTTCTAGTCAGATGATCTAACGTCTTTATAGTGGATAAAATAAAGTTTTATGACGACCTAAAAGCTGCAAACATTAGCATTATATACCAAAATGAAGTTTTAAGATATTGTCAACCCGTTTTATAAACCATCGAAATTGAAATGATCTATGATTTAACATGTTTTATTGTCTCGTTTTATAATAGTATTAATATATTGATATATTAATATATTGGTCATCGCCTATGAGAAACAGATCATGGCTTTATTTAGTATCAAACTGAACTAAAGGTGGAGAACATGTGTGCCACTTTTTATACGAACAAGAAAACATTATTCTCTCTCTCAACCGATAAAACTTTCACTCTTTGGGTTACTCAGTTTAATGTGGTATAGAAGAATGAATAATGTTAAACCATAATGAATGTTTAATAGACATATTTACGACTTAATGATGATTAATTCATACCCTAAGAACTAAGAGTTGTGCTTGCTTAATCATGATATTGATACTATTCCGCAAATCAACATCCAGAAACTTTACTGACTTGATCATATCATTGAAATATGAAAAAGGATGTTGAAACCAATAGACAAAAGATGCTAAATAGATTTTATATACAAAGGCAGTACGAAGAAGAAGCACCTAAAAGAAGTGCTGCTTCACACTTAAACTCGGTAATGGGTTTTCAGGATCAGCATAGTAAGTGTGTGTTGATTCTGTTCTAAATAAGATTATCTTGAAAACTTTCAAATAAATTTATCATAATAGTAAGTACATTGCAATTCCTTTAAATGTTTAATAACTTTTCTCAAGATATGAGAAAGCATTTCTTTAGTGGGTGCTTATGACCACGGATGATGGGTATTTGGCAATATTCCAAACAGCTGTATATTCAGCCAAAACTGCAATTAATTAAAATAATATAAAAAGTATTTTTGTTGTTGTAGTTCACTACATTACGAAATTTCTCTATTAAACTTAACGCCACCCTAACAATCCTCAAGTTCACTTCTAGACTCTCAGGAAGATATGCTGATTTAGGGTCCGTCATCAACTAAAATACAAATAAATGATATGATTTCTTAGCCTAGTTAAAGCCTAGTGTGGGGTAGAGATAAGCCCCCCAGCCATTTTAGAGTAAAAGTGCGTAGTAGCACTAACTGAAGAAGAAGAATCAAAAATCTATTAAACAAAAATTGTATTAAATTGACAGTAAACGTAAATAAAAAAAATAAACACAATATTTTAGAAGTATAGATTTTTAAAAAATATATCTGTTTTTTTGTTGTTAAGCCGAGGAGAGAGGCTCTTGGCAGTCCTTAATTTTTTGCTCTGATTCAAGCTAATTGCGGTAAACCCAACTTACATACATGTTAGTAAGCCGCGGGATGTTGGTTAGATTCAGAAAACTGATAGTTGACTCAAATTATCTCCATGAAAAATGGACATTGCACAAAATCTCTCCAGACGTGCTGTTAAAATACCATTCGAATATGTTTTCGTGGCGTTGTCAGCGACAGAGATCTAAGCTTAATAAAAAAGATTACTCATTGTGCCTAACAAAAACGTACTTTACCACTACTATACTTACAAACCTTAGAATTTTAAAATAGTATATATGCAAGATAAGGTATAAAAATGTTGTCTTTAGTTTTGTCGATCCATCAACACCGTTTATACAGGTAGTTATAGTATAATATTAAAAACCAATTAATTATTTTCATTCATTCATTCATTCAATTATTTTCATTTTCATAGACTGAATTCCAATCTCCCAGGCACGTCTGATTGATAATGGATTTTATAATAGTGAAAACAGGTATTTTTTATAAATTCTTTCGTTACTTTGTAAACTATATGGCTTAGTTTTCAAAATATAGGGCTTAAAAACTTATCGTTCTTATATAGGGACGACTAACCAACCACAAATACTCGTGTATTTTGGTGTTTTATGCTTTTTCTTATATTCACCAGTTTGGAAAAATTGAATTTACTAGCTGGCGTTATATGACATATGTAATTCATATCAATATTTCATAGCGTTATCAATATAAAAAGTTTACAGCATCAAACCTGAATACATAGAACAGTAAGGTATATAGATATAAGATGTAGTGGAGAAGTTGCTGAAAGTAACTGCTCTATTGATACCTTTTGTCAAATCGGCGTGCCGTGAAGTCGCTATCACTTCTTCTTCTTCGTCTTGTTCTTGAGTTAGTGCTATTACGCACTTTTACTCTATTATGCCTGGGGGGCTTATCTCTACCCCACACTAGGCTTTAACTAGGCTAAGAAATCATATCATTTATTTGTCTTTTAGTTGATAACGGACCTTAAATCAGCATATCTTCCTGAGAATCCAGAAGTGGACTTGAGGATTGTAAGGGCGGTGTTAAGTAGCGTATCGCATCAGGTCGTATAAAAAATTACATATAAAAATACGTGCTTATCTAGATGTTGAAGTTTACCTAACTTAAGATTAAAAATTGTCGCTTTAAATATCAGTTATTTATGAAAGTAATGAATTAGTATAGACAGTGTGCTTTTTAACAGAAGATCCTATATATACTATAATAATAATTATATACTATATAATTTTGTCAACTAGATCAGTTTATAATAATTTATACAATATATCACACCATTTAATATACTAATTAGTGTATATGTATATCCTTGAGTAAAAAAAGTTTGTTTAGTAATAATATTTATTTTTGCATATATTAACACTGTTATTACCTGTGCTAATATTTAAATTAAATTTAATAACACCTATCTTTTTCACTGTTTATTTGTTCTAAGAATTAATAGACATTTTATATTCTTTTTGGCTTAACTTAATCTACCACTTAAGGTAAAGTTTCCCTTTCCTTGGGTTTTAAATTCATTTACAAATAAAATTAAAAATTCAAATAAAAATGAAACTAAGCCCAATAAAAATACTCACAAACTCAAAAACTAAATAAAATAGTTTTAAATTTATTTCTTACATATAATCCTGATTTTTTAGGGTCCATTTGGTTTAATATTTAGTTTTACTTTTATATTATTTGTGGGTTTGTGGTTAATTTTGTTGACTTCAAGTATTTATTTTGCTTATTTTGGTAATAAAACTTTATTATCAAATAGAAAAAATATATAATTAAAATTTAAATAGAAATATCAGCACAAAATTTATATAAATGGGTAAAATATATGTAAATATGTAATATGTAAAATTAAAAAATGTGTGGCAGATAAATTTAGTTAGTTAGCTCCATCTTTATTAATTCAAATACATATTACACTTATATTGAGTTTAAGATGTCCAACGAAAATATTGTATTTCTCGGTCAATGAAATATTACCTATATGAAATATAGGTACATTCTCAGCAGTTTAATATTGTCGAACATTTAATTTCAAGCTTACAAGTATACCCGAATAAATAAACAAATTTATGCAGATGAACTCTTCTGTTAAATCTGAAGATTGACCTAGTCCAAATAGACAAGCAACGTACTAGTCAGCTGCTTTAACTTAGGCGTGATCTGCTAAGCAGTGCGCTGTAAGTGCTGAAGAGTCACTGCCTACCAGGAAGACATGCTATGAGACTTGGTTTCACTTAAATGATTTTTGTCGGTTTTATTGCTCCGCAGATAAGAAGGAAACTGTACTCCACCTCATGTCTCAGTGTCAACCATTGACTAAAAAATGATTCAAACCTTTGGGGACTTGTTCTTACCGATATGTCAGAGCTTCAATTATGCAATTATTAGGCACTAGACCAGGTTTATAGGCTTTTCAGGATACTTCACTTGAAGTATTGAATGGGGTAGTAGTGCCTTTTAGCATTGCTCGTACGCCCTCCACTGCTTTTCTTTCGGAAATACTATTGAACAACGCTAAACCGTGTTATCACAACGGACCATTATCTAAGCCATCAGTCCAAGCTTACCTAATCTGCATTAAGTTAAAGAATAGAATGGAATAATAAATGTACGACACGACTTTACCAGTTTTTTTTATTTAAATTTATTTGAAATAAAATAATCTGTCTTTAATCTTAAGCTTTCGATACAAGGCCATCGGTCCAAGCTTACCTAATCTGCATTAAGACACGACTTCAAATTTATTTGATATAAAATAATCTTTTTAATAGACACTTTCTACCGTATGTGCTTCTAACCTATGAAAGTTTTTAGCAAAACATATAGAGTCCATAAATGTCCTTCATAGAATCACCACTTCTCTATAAAAAGAAAATAGTCATTATATATAAACGACTGCACTTAAACGGAATTTATTAACTAAATACTTATTTTATAATTTCAATAGGCCATATTGAAACACATCTTGATAACCAAGAGGCACTTAATAGCCATAATGTACTTATCTTAAACAGTTTAAGCTATATTAAAGAAAGAAATATTTTACTTTTTATACATTTGTAATAGAAATATTTTATTTTTTTTTGTTAAGCATTTATACAATATACTTCATTATATATTTTGTAATTCTACGGGAAGAATTTCATACTTTATAACTTTTGAAGTGTGAAGACCAAATCGAATTCAGTCATACGATTTATTATTGGACTGAAATTTTTAATATATTGTGCTTTCTGCCACTTCCTTAAATAATTTGACCATAATTTTGGTCAAGAAAATTGCAGCCCAATTCGAAAAATACTTCCAGTTCATCATTTCCACTTTAATGAAAAGCCACAAAAGTGACCTTCTCCTCTCAA